CAATACATTTGAATTCAATACGTAATTGCAATTAGTGCAAAAATAAAATGAATGAAAAAAGATATATGCATTTCAAGATATATTAATACTAATAATCAAACTCTAAAATTATATGCTAGTGTTATATTTGAATCTGTATTATATTTGAAATGTATGATTACAATAGTTAGTTTTTTGTAACTGATATCCTGTTTGATAAGGAAATGAACATTGCCATATGATCAAAACACCTACAAAATCTTTAATATTGTCTGTACAATAGAGATGTATTTTAATATATCTGTTGCATATATCTAAATACAAAACTAGTCCTATATCCAGACTTAGTTTATTTTGAGAAATGCACAAAGTAATTCTTTCAGTTTTGAAAATTAAAAATTTAATTAATTTTAATCTCTGATATTGAATTAAAGTATTTTTACTTAGATATTTGACTGTTTTTACTTAAATTATTTATATATCTAATATTTATGCTAGTCAACAGCAAAAGTAATCAAAACATATCATTTTACACAATGCTTATATTGTTTGAGCTAATATTTTTAATGGCATCTTTGCAGCTTTCCAATGTAGAGGGTACAGGTTTCTTTAAGTATTCTAAATCAATTTTTATGTCACAAACTTGGTATAGAGCTCTTATAATTTCTATTTATTTCCAAGCCTCTTCTCTGCAATTTTCATGTCCATAATGCTAGCAGTTCTTATTAGGGTTGAGATTAGGGCTATTACCTCATCAGCTTAGACATCAGATCGCTGCTTTTTTTTTCTGCCTAAACAATTTGTATCAGTTTAAATGACAATAATGATGACAAACTGACATATACAGTACTTCATTCATGGTTACATGGGGCTGAGTTGTCCTGGAAGATGCAGGATTTCATGCAATAAAATTGTTCCTTGATTGTTGGAATTAGTTTTGAAAATAAGATGTTTTTGTAGCACTCTTTATTTATAGAGATTTGTAAAGTATAGTTTGCTGACACCTTTACTAGATATACATTCTAACACTATTTGACTCACTGTAAACTTTATCATCTCTATCAAGTAAGCACTGTTACAGTCCTGCTTTTCCTACAAATATCAAATATTGGGTTTTCTGTTAATATCTGCAAGTTAAGTTTGGATTCATCCAAAAACAAAACACAATCTTTCATATCATTCCAATCTACTTGCTGTTTAGCTCAGATAAGCCGCTGTCTATGCATTTTACTAAACAGTAATGGCTTCTTACATGGTTGGTATACTTTTAAAGTCAGTCTCTATGACAATACTAGTGTAATTTAGTAATAAATACACTTAAACACCAAAAAACAACAAATAATGAATATATTTAAACAACACAAACATTTTCTTCCATTTTTAGAAGATCATCTTTCCATCTGCATTTCTTCCAACCTGAAGTTAAGTATTGCATAGTGTTAAACTTTTTTGAACCTTTTCAGTTTTTTATAAAAGCACACTACGTTTGCATGGGATGATACAATCATCAAAACTACTGCAGTAGACTTTGTTAGCCTGTGAAAGCATTCTCATGTTTATGATGATCATGAATGATAGTCTTTATAGTTTCTTGCAGTTCTTCAGCAAAATGATATTTTAATTTTAAAAATAAACACTTATAGAATTTTGAGTGATGCAGTTTGAAAACAACTCTCAAAACTGGACAAATTTGATTAAAAAAAAGCCACAAAAACCCAAATAACCAGCAGAACAAGGGAGATGTAGCTAATGTTTTTGCTCTTGTTGAACAGGCATTATCAGACTAAATGACCCCACAGCTGTTGAAACAGCGGAGGCTTGCCATACATGTTTTTGATGCAATTTCATGCATATGAACAAAACTTGGCTTCACAAATCATTGGTGATATTAAATTTGAATATACTTGAAATGTTTCCAACAGTTTAATGAATAATATAAAAATGTTTAGCTTTATAAAATAATTTGAACAATATTAAAAACTATTTAAATTTACAAGTTGTAAAGCTTAATTCTACATTAGTAAGATGAATAACTGTTTCACATATTATTTTATCAGGGAAAGTTTTTTTAATAATGCTTTATAATTGTTTTACATGTTCGCAGTAGCAGTTAGATTTGACTTGTATCAATTTGGTACATGAACAGATTATAAAATAAATTTCAAATTATAATACTTAATGTTATGTAAAAAATGAATGTGTTTCATGAATGTTTAGAAACAAATCTTAAAGAAACATCAAGAAGTAATTGCCACTTTTAGTACTCATGTCAATATTGTGCCACTCAAATACCACAATATTGATATAAATATTACAGGTTAATTAAGGATATCTGCTCTGGAATATGTGGAAAGAAATTTAATTTAAAAAATGACCAGTATTACGTTATCAAATTTTAATTGGAATGAAGCAGATTATTGTAAAATTATAGAGCTCTTTAAAGTTTTATGACTATGTTTAGCAGCTGATGCCTTAGGATAGGGGGTCACCAAACTTTTTCACATTGGGCCAGATAACTGAGAGAATGATGAGCATGGGCTGTATAACTATTTTGTTCAGTACAGTACACTGAATACACAATAAATAAAGACAACCAGCATATTTATTTACCAATACACAAACACGATTACTTCAGCAAGCTCGTATCACTTTCCTTAGAAACTTCATTGGCAGTACTTATAAAAAAAAGTGCACTGATACCCAAAGTCACAAAAAGTCACCAAAGTTTTTATTTCACTGATTTATCTAGAAATTATATTACTGTCAGATGCAAAAATCAGATTGGACCAAGTTTAGCATTTTTCCTTATACTTACTATGTAAAAAAAAGTTAAAATAAGTTTATCTACAATCTATGATATTTCCATATAAATAATTACATTTTAGCTTGTTTGTGGTACAGTGTGGCAATGGGCCGGATGAACTGACCTCGCAGGCCATAGTTTGGTGACCCCCTGCCTCTACCTGTTAATAAATAAGATGACAAGATGAAAATCTTATCATTCTATTTATTAACAAATGAAAGCATATTTGAATTTCTGTTATGTAAATTGAAAAATCTGAAATTAGTAACACTTCTTTATTTACAAAATTCACAGAATGTTTGGACAAAGTTGTCTAGTGTATTTCTTTCACTAGCTGCAAAATATGATATCACATTAAGTTATCTGGACAAATATTATCGAGATTATATCCAAATTATTCTATAGAAGATGACTGTGATGATGAAAAAGTGGCAAAGAAGAAAATCAAGCCATAATTTTAAAAAAATGTATGGAAAAATTGATACATAAATACATACATACTACTACAAGAATCTGAAGAAGTGACTTCGTCCAGCTCTAAAACACTAAAAAAGGAGTTTTTAGTATTAGAAGGTACAAACAGAAGAACGAAAAAGTTTAGAATTATTATTTAATGCTTTAAAGATGACTAAACCCAGTTCAGTAGCAAGTGAGAGAGTTTTTTCTGTTTCTGGCAATTTTGTGTGCAAAATGAGGGCATGGTTGAGCAATAGATCTATAGATATTCTTTGCTTTCTAAAATCATATTTTCTTAGGAAAAATAAGAAATAAAATAATATTTTGTAGACATTCATTGTTGTTTGTTTTTCTTTATGGTTTTCTATGGAGTAAATTTTATAGTTTAATGTGATAATCTAGCATTTTATTTTTTTTGTTTTGTGTAGACGTCGGTAAATTTTATTTTGTTATATTTTTGAAATTTTATAAATATTAAAAACTTTCAAAATAAGTTATAAATATCCCTTAATTCCATTTTGAGGGGGTAAAAATTTGAAAACCAGTTAAAATCGGTTTCGTAGAAAAGTTGAGATTCAAAAACCGGTTTTTTAAAAAGTCGGTTTTTGTATAAATCCTAATGGCACTGCCCACAATACAAATTGGATGGGCAGTTATTACAAGAATAATATACACATGAGTAATGATTAGAATATGGATGATCATTACAAGAAGTGCAGTATATTAAGTTATTTGAAAATAAATGAAAAATAGTGTTTTATCCATTTTAAAATAAATATATAATAATTTGCCAAGTTATTTTGTCTTTTAAGATGTTTTGTTTCACATTGTTTTTAAAACTTTAACAAATAATTGCTTAAGATTTTTATATAAAATTATCAAAGTTAGCATTTATAATACAGCTTTTGAAAACGAATATAGATCCCAAACATGCAGATCAAATAGAGATGATTGTTTATGACAACCTTTTAAAAACATTTATAATTTGGCAGTATAAACAATAAAGTAAAAGCTTATTTGGCCATAGCTACAAGATACTATTAATTATCATTTATTAACAGATTATTTTAAGATGCTAATTATTTAAATTTAATCAAGTATTGATGAATTATTAGAGAAAAAAAGTTATTTCTAATGATAACAATTAGATTCCTGGTGAATCCTGTGCACCATTTTGTTAATGCACTGTTAACAAAATGGCACCTAATTTGAAGCTATTGCTGAATTTTTCCAAGCCATAATCATCTGAAAACATTTTGTAATGTTTAGTTATGTTTGGCTTAAGAATTCATACTAAGTATTTTTGAAACTAATTTAAATTTTTTACATAAATAAAAATTTTAAATGACAATGAAAATATAGATATTCCTTTTGTAAATTATAGAATATTTTATGTTTAAGTTTTATATTGGACAATATGCTTTGGAAATTGAAGTTGGTCTGTTTAACAAAATTGAATAAATTAAATTTGATTTTGTATATAGGAATTAATCATATGTTTATTGGAGCTTGAGGATTATTGATGCTTATAGTTCTCTGCAATTTTCATGTCCATAATGCTAGCAGTTCNTAGGTATATGATATAAAGTTCAAAGTATATTAATATAGTTAATAAGAAATGCTCATTAAAATAAACATTTTAAACGATAAATTTTCATTTTTCAAAGTAATGGAATCAATTTATATATGTAAAATCAGTCATAAAAAAATTCTAATTTAGTGAATTTTTTTAATGAAGTAATAGATTTTATAAAATAATTACAAAAAGTTTTCTAAGATATATTATTTAATATCTTTTAGCACCTCGTCTTGAAAATGTGAAACCAGATTTGGGATATCATGCTATCATAAAAGAAAATGAGAGAACAGTTGAAATCAGTCCAAGGATAAAAGTTGTAGATGGTAAATTTTTCAAAACTACTTTTATAAATATAAATTTTGTTAATTTACTCTAGATTTTTTTTTATAATAAGTATTACTAAATGCAAATGTTTATTTTGTAAATTTAATAGACATTCCTTCTTAATATCAGATTCTCTTCTTGAAAATCAGATGTTCAATGAAAATATCTAACTTGGAACTAATTTTCCATTATTATAAACAGAAAGAATTGTGTTACAATGCCATTCCAAAACCTTTAATTAATTTCTTAAAATGCAATTATAAAACACAGGAAGATGTCAAACCAAATAAAGTGCCAAATTAGCATGCTATTATATAATTAAATTAATGATCATTAACTTAATAGTATGATAATTTAGTACTTCATATGGTTTAATTAATAAATTGAGTTTAGATATGTTGATATGTAAAATGTCAATGTATGTTTTTTAAGGTGTAAGAAGTGAATGTTTAAAAATTACTTTCTGATTACCAAAAAAACTAGCATGGTTGTTAAACATTTGCTCTGTATGCATAAATTGCATGGTATTCCATAAACATTGTTTGTTGACACTACACTTTTCAAAACATTCATATGTAATTTTTTGGCATTCTATCATTTGAAATATAACTCTAGAACAGGGGTCCTCAAACTTTGACTGTTGACCCATTCAAGGATTTTTTGATCTTTTATCAATTCCCTTTTCTTTTTTCTTTAATACAGTTAATAATAATAAATAAATAAATAAATAAATAAATAGAGCCAGTATTAATTTGTATGCTGTTTTCACAGAAAAGATATACTTACAACATCCAGAACTGTTATATAGTCTGCATAATCCACATAATCCATTAAACTAATAAACTGTTTTCAGTCAACTCCCAATTGACCCCTGAAAATGTCTTATCAACCCCTGGGGGTCAATATTTACCACTTTGGAGACTCCTGCTATAAACTTTCACTACACATTTTGCTAAAATGTTGTATTTGGGTTTTGAGATGTAACTTTTCCTTCATATGTATTGTTTGAAAAACACATTGAGAGATTTGTTTTATAAAGTTTGAATATTAAAAATTAAGAGAGATTCTGCAAGATATGCCTGGATTCTTATGTAATATGATGAATATGTAAAGGAATTTAATATTGAATATTTATGCAATTTATAGTTTAGTCACTGTCCACTGAAATATAAATTGCATATTTCAAATGAATTTAAAGATTAAAATCTAACTATATGTGATACTTTAAAATTTTATTGAATTTCTTTTCAATGAGGTGGATAAATTATAACTATGATTTTATATCTGAAAATTACATTATATAAAATTCATATTTATGAATGATTGAGCCTCTTGCCTATAAATGATTTTTTTGTAAGTGAATGTCAAATTGTTTACATGTAGTAATGAAATATGATGATTCAATTTTTTTTAAATTAGAGAAGTGATAAAACAGATTAATTTTGAAAGAGCAATCAATACAAATGTAACAAAGAAGTTACATTTAAGAGGGCTATATTAATCTATGATAGGTTTTGTAATACATTAAATGTAAAGTTAGATAAAATTATCATCATAATAATAACACCTTTCTCACTTTTTCTAGCAAGTTTTAATAAAATGAACTAATATTTTCAGCTATTTTGAATAGCCTTCCTCAGGTTTAACATAATTTTGAATGCCAATTAGAACAAAAAATCTAATTTTTATTTTCAGCTATTCAAAATAGCTGAAAATATTTACTTCGTTTTAATAAAACATGCTAGAAAAAGTGATAAAGGTGTTTTTATTATTATTATCTAGAAGTTGTAGATTATAGCATATAGTATTTAAATGTATCTTCTTAATTATATTTAGTCACTTGAAATTCTCTCATAATGAATTAAGTTCCAAGTAAATTTACATTTATACAAATGTTAATTCATTAAATTAGCTGTTGATTTTGAAAGTGGGATAAGTCCATTTTATGTTGTTGCTAGATATTTAATGGTTTGCATTTGAATGAGTTTAAAAATATTTGTAAACAGTAATAGACTTATTTTGTATTTTTTTTTTTTGGTTTTATTTCGTATAAATTTAATATGCAATAATGGTTATCCGCGTTAGGTGAAAAAAAATCATGGTTTTGGTATGCGCCAATGGACTTGTCTCACTTTCAAAAACAATGATTTGTTGAAAATGTTGCTTTTTTTTTTTTTTATGGAATATAGTTATAATAACCAAAATTGAATTTTTTATTTATTTACTTATTTATTCTATTTCACCATTTCATACTTTTTTCAAAAAGCTACAATGAAACAAAAAATTAATTTAATTTTATAGGAAAAAGTGGAGAAAATAATAAAAAAATATTTAGTAATAAGTTGCCTGCATATAATTATATTTCTTAGTTTAGATGGTGCAGATTTTTAAAGTATTCATGATAAATGGGTGGTACATAGGGTAATAAATTCATCATATCTTCATATTTTTCTTTAGAGTGGACTTGCCTCACTTTCAAAATCAATTCACTGTAAATATTGTTGATGATATAAATTACTAGTAACAAATTTGTACTGATATTAAAAGATGTTTATTGTGAATTGATTAAAAACACAAATTTTATGTTAATTTGTAATAAGAATTAGCTTTAATTATTTTTTTCACAAAATGGACTTGCCCCACTTTCAAAATCAACGGCTCAAATATCAATGTGAAATTGTGATTATAATCAATAACTAATGATGATAATGAATTGTTCTGTAGAAATACTCCAGACATTTTTCAATAGACTCATTAACTTAAAAATTAGGAGTTCAATTTAAATAGTACAAGAGTTATTTCAGATATCATTTTTGTAGGAAATGTATTTGATTTTATATTAAATTATACTATTGTATATTTGAATCTCTCACATCCTACAGATTTCTAGATTATATTCTGAATTCCATAGATTTTTTTATACAATTTGAGGTTGACTATTAAGTTATTTCCAAGCTACAATTTCATGTTACTGAATTTGCTTTTAAATTAACTTATGTTTATTATAAACCAGAAATTTCATAATTGTATATGGTAATCCATCTGTTATTTATTTTATTACATTTTATAAATGAAAATTTCTATAAATTTATATTTACCAAATTTAAAAATTAAGATATAACCATGAGTATTGAAAATATTTGAATTAATTACTAATGATTAATTTTTTTTTAAATATCAATCAATCATTCATAAACATTTTCACACAATAAAATAATTTCAAGGTTTCTGTTTACTTTTATTTATTATTTATAATCATGATAATTTGATATTTATTAAAGTGTGAAAAAAAATGAAAGTGTCATATGATTCGTCTCATTATGTTACAACACAATTTTAAAAAAAATAATTAAAACAATAGAAATTACATGTAATATAATGAAAATAAATTGTGAATAGAACTTTCAATTGTTAACTAGAAATAAATTTATACTGTTCAAAACTATTCTCAAAGTTATTCTTAAATGGAATTTATAAGAAATAAATTTAATTGTGATTTAATTTGGAGTTAAATATTTAACTGTCAAAACTGTATTAAGAATGAAAAATTTTTACTAGATTTTGCACATTATCTTATCCTTGGACTTCATTTTTTACTATTTTGCAGTTTTTAGTAAAAAAAAAATTGAAAATGCATTTGCTCTTATCCTTGGGTTTTCATTTTTTACAAGTCATATTTTCAATTACATGCAAATATAACGTTTTCATTTAAGTCTGAGACTAATAGCAGACTAAAGTCATCCTATCACAGATATATTAAATATGTGAATATAAAATACTTTTTACATTAGTATTATTTGCTTCCTATACAAATCAAAAACATCTGTTTGAATAATAAAATGCCATTTGTATATTGGAATAATAATTTTCCTTTTTTCCCCTCCCTCTATGTATGTGGCCTTTATACTCATTTCATAAGTTATTAAATTTATATTGTTTATAATATTAATTTGGAATATGCTTTTAGAGCATATTACTATATTTTTTTTCTTGAATGCATAAAAAATTTTTTTGAAAATTATCATACTAGCTATAAAAAAAATACTTTTATTAAAAAATTTCTGAATATAGTAGTTCATATATGAATGAAAACATAGTTCTGTTTAGTCAATCCAGAATCTAAATTAGCACATCATTTTTGGGCTATACTTTAAACTAGTTAATTAACATAATTTGACTTAAAGGTAGACAGTTTATCATTTTGCATTAGGATTAATAAATAAAATTATTTGTTAAGATTAAAGACTAATTAATTTTATTGAATGATGACATTTAAATAGAAGTGTTATTAAGTTAAATCAAATTTAACTTTTACATACAAATGTCATATATGATTATAAAAAAGTTTTGATTCGTTATTTATTAAGATTAGAAATGTGTGAATACTATTTTTAAAATTTACAAATACTAGAAAGTATTTGAAATTCAGGGTCTCAAATAGTGTGTTGATAAAAAAAAATATACATTCAAATACTATGAATACCTCCAGTATTGCATCATATATAAAGTCACAGTTGTTAAGAAGTACCCAAAGGGGCTAATTCAAAAATTAAAAATGCTTAAATTAATACATACTTTTTATTAACACAAGCCACAACAACAGCTGGATTGCAGATGGTCTCTAAATTGTATTTGTTATAAATGTTTTTAAAAACAATGTTTTGAAAAGAGTTTGATGTTTTATTTCTTAAAATTTAGTAAATTGTTTTTATTTTTACTTTGATTTCTTTCATTATATTAATAAACAAGTTGAATACAGGGTTTCTATGCACCTGGAAAGTCGGGGATTTACATTAGTGTTTGGAAAAAGTCATGGAAAGTCAGGAAAATTTGCCTTCTTTGCTGCCTTGTTGATTTTTTTTGCTGACAATATACTTGACTAAATGTAGCTGTCTGCAAGCAGCAAGAAGTAATGTGGTACAATACAACTTATGAAAAGGGGTGCAGAATTTTTTCAGGACCCAAAATTTCTCCCAAGCATACACAAAATTTTCCTGTAAATGTACAAAGTACAAAAAAGATGATAAATAATTTTAATTTAAATTAAAATTATTAATTTAAAATTAATTTAAATTAAAATTATTTATCATTTTTCATTTCAATAATTTTGATTACATTTTAAGTTTTAAATTTTCACTGGATGATAAAATTTTCTTTAAAAAATTTAAGATGTAGTCGCTTTCAAAAAATTTTTCTTGGGTGATCACCATATTTCTTTTTAATGTTCCTTAGTAAAAACTTCAGACGACCGGACCTTTCTTTTTAGGCTATGTAGCTGTCATGGAAAAGGTTCCTTAAAACATAAACAACCAATTAAAAAATAATAATTTTTTAAAAATTGGATTTGATGATCTTACGACGTCTTGCTTATTTCATCCTTCTCCGGGAGTTTCTTTATATCTACTGGAAATTTGCGCTGTTTAATTTAGATTATCTTCTATCCTCCCTCTGGCAGCGAATTATTATTAAATTTTAAGTTAATGGTGATAGTGTGATGTTATTATTCTCGTTCATCAAACAAACTACAAATTATTTATGAATATATATTAATTGTATCAAAATTATAGTCATTACATTTATAGATAATTAATTAGTAATCTTATGATACATTAAAGTTGTTTGAAAGAATCTTTAATGTATTTTAAAAGGAAAGGTTTTTTGAATTATTATGATATTTTTTAAATATTAAAAATATAAAATTAATTAATTACAGTAATTAAAAAGAAGGGTTTTTGTAAATAATTTAGATCAGAGAACATATATATTCATATATTTATTATTTTAATTTCTAGAGAATAAAAAATTATGTTAATTATATCTGTAATATAACAAAATTATTTTATTCAGAGCAATGCTATAATTATTACTCACCTGGCTCCAAATTTTCAACAAATTTATTTAATTGAATTATAAATTTTCGTCTATAAACAAGCATTCACTATTATCAGGACTTATTATATTGGCTTGACAGACAGGTATATTAAATATTAAATAAAAATTGTTTTCTGTGAAACTCTGTATTGTCTGTTAAGCCAGTATAATAAGTCCTGATAATAGTGAATGCTTGTTTATAGACTAAAATTTATAATTTAGTAAGAAAAGGACATTGAGGCATTTTAATTAATTATTTAATTGAATATTATATTGGTATACAAACTATTTATGATGATGATAATTATATATGTCATAATAATAATAATCAGGTTTTAAGCTGAAAAAATTTTCAATAGCATTTTAGCTAATTTTACTAAAAAAGTTGTAGTAAAATTTTAAAAACCATAACTAACATTTCTCATCCATGAGACTGCCCAGAACAATACACAATACATCATTGTTTAAACATTTGTTTATTCTCACAGATACTGTACATTATTAGTGTACTGCACTATGAATATAACCATAAATCTATTGTTACAACCCACAAGTTTCATACATTATTGAACAATTCATCTTCGTTTTGATTCACACCAGACAACAAATGCTGAATGAAAATCAAATTCTCATCTTGGAGGGCCATTTATGAAGATGTTTAACTAGTTGCTGACATTTTTACATTAAAAAAACTCCAATTGGAAACTGTTTTAATGTCATTTTACCGAAACCATTTACACTCAACAGTGTGCACTGGTTGTAAAGGAACAAATTTAAAAACTGTTGATGTATGAGGGTAATCTGAGAGAAGGTCATTTACAATTATCATTTTTATAAACTTTAGTCGATGACATATCCTTAAATCTGACAGCAACAAATCTTTTAAACAAATCCCACTCCATCAGAAATTGTTTTTAAAATTACAATATTAACAATTAAGTATTCATTTAAAATAAAATTTACTGCCGGGACAATAATTTTGAAACCGTTTACAAAATTTCTTTTGGACGAACTATGACTGTCCTTCCTTTTGTCCTTTCATGCACCAAATAGGAAATAACAAATCTTGTGGTGGAGTCAACCTTTATCTGGAGGCTACTTTCCTGCCTCGGCATGCAAAATCAAAATCATCCTCTGGTGGTGGGAAAAAACACTTAATTTTATTAAGTAATGTATGAATTTTATAAGTTTTATTTTAATTTGTTTATTGGAAACTTTTGTGTCTACAAAGCAGAGAATACATCAAGCCCTATACATGAGGTGACGTTTTTCAAGGAGGACTTTTCTTCTGCATAGTCGAAGCAACATGAGATTGCACTCAGTTGGTACTACCTGTCCCATTTTAGGAGAGATGGGTGATGTTAGGGTTTCCACCCAGCCAGTATTGGGTTAGTTTAGCTGGCAATTTTAAATTGAGGCTGGCAGTTGACAAAAATATTTTAATTTTTTAATTGGAAATTAATAGAAAAAAGTTTAAGTAAACTTAATGTACATAGTAATTTGATTAACTTAATACAATTTGCATACAATAACAATTATTTTGAAGTTAATGATGTATTTTATAGACAGTTAGATGGTATTAGCATGAGGTCAAAGATGGGACCAAAATTAGCTGAATTANGGTATTAGCATGGGGTCAAAGATGGGACCAAAATTAGCTGAATTAGTTATGATCGATATTGATAAAAAAATAAGTGAAATACATGGCATAAAATTAATAATGAGATATGTGGATGACTATTTGATCATATATAATAGTAATTTAACTAATAAAGAAACTATCCATAACTTTATAAATAATATAAATAAGGACATTCAGTTTGATATTGAAGAAGAAGTAAATAATAAAATTAATTATCTTGATATAACTATATTAAATAACCCTGTTAAATTTAATTTCATAACATATAAAAAATCTTGTAATGTTAATAAAACTATAAATTATCATTCTTATACCCCAGTTTATATGAAAAGGAATTCTTATTTTATGGAATTAAAAAATATGTATACACGCATAACCGATGATCATAATATAAACATCAAACTTAAAGATTTAGAAAAAAAATATTTTAGTTTCTGCAAAACAGTTTAAAATATAAACAAAATTATATTTTAATTGAAAAAATATTAGATAAAATTATTTTTAGTATTTATATGTTTACTTATAATGATAAAATGCTTGAACAACACCTTAAATATTTTTTCGTAACACTTCACTTTGTTTAAACAAATGTTTTCAACACTTTCTACAGGTCTGCATCACATTTAACAAGAGGATTTCCACTGTTTAAGAAGTCAGTTCAAATCTTTTTGTTAGACTGGTGAAAAAGATCAAAAACATTTTATTTATAGAAATTAGCATTGCTGAAAAAAGTATTTAAGGTGTTATTTGAACTAATTAGTTTCAGCCTATATAGAAGTGTTTCTTAACGTCATTTAGTGTTAAATATGATGGAATTACAGCATTTACAGGGCATGTTGATTGTGAAGCATTAAAAAAGTGCATCTTCTCATTACCTTTCCTTCCTGGTCGTCGCATCAGCCAACGAAACAGTTTTCAAAGAAGGCAACCTTAGATTACACAATGGGATAGTTTTTTTTTTTTTGAGTAAAAGGGAATTAGCTATAATTTGTTTGAGGGTACTGTTGCAATATTAACTTTATCTGTAATAAGATTACAAATTTATCTTCTACTACATAATAAAAGCATGCATATCTACATATAAATGGAGAATTTTTTTGGTTTCTTTCAAAAGATTAATTCTGGATTTCTCTATCTCTTTCCATTCTTAAATTTGATGTTTATTAATTGAATATACTGTGCTTATAATGCAAATCATTAATTTTTCTAAACTAAATAAACTTTAGAAAATATTCAAAAGAATCAGAAGAAATTCATCCCATCACTAGTTAAAACATCTTAAAAACTAACATTTTTAAGATGTTTTAACTAGTGATGGGACGATATGTTTTTCAAATGCTGTAATCAATTCGTAAACATTAATTTAGTTTTTTAGTGAAATGTGCCAAGAAAGTTATTGCTGAATTTAAATTCTTGTAGCATTTTAGCAAAAAAAACTAGTGACAGCTTAAACCCTGAATAATAATAATTTAAACATTATTTATTCTCTGAATGTTTTAGAAAAAAAATTTAAATATTTCAAAAATGATTTATAGCTGTGTAATTTTTAGGATTATTTAAGAATTGTGGACAAATCATAATAATTTCTATATTTTGACTATTAATTTTAAAATATTGATGAAATTATTTATGTAAATATGTCATGATAAAATAATTATTAAAATTTATATTTCAGCTGACGTATGTAGTTTTATAATTACAAATAAACATCAGAAAGAGGTGCCATTTATTGTAGAGATTATTGATAAAACTCGTGGTGAAGCTCAGTTGGTATCCAAGAGAGAATTGAATTGTGAAAAACGCAAGAAATATAAGTTTGAAATTGCAGCTGTTGGATGTGATGGTCAAATATCTGAAAAGTATGTATAATAAAAATATAAATTTATAGTTGAATCTATTTTATTTATAGTTTCATAATTGAAAAAAAATAATCAAAGGATAACAATAATTTGTTTCATTATATACATAATTTCAAATTTTCTTTTCATTTTATGAAGATTAACATATATTTGTTAAAATGTAAAGTTTACTTATAGGTATCTATTAATGTATAATTAGTTTATGAATTTAGTGATTTGCTACTTATATATTAACTTATATTAATTTACTTTAGTGCAACTGTACATCTAACAGTAGAAGATGTTAATGAATTTGCACCAGAATTTCTTCAAGATTCTTATACTGTAGATGTTGATGAAGACAGATTGTATGATCAGATTATTCAAGTAGAAGCAAGGGACCATGATTGTTCGGCAAAATTCAGTGATATTTGCAGATATAAGATTGCAACTTCAAATCAGCCTTTTGAAATAAATACTGAAGGTAAAAATTTGATTTTAACTAAAAAGTTAAACTGTAAATTATTACATTAATATTTAAATTTGTATTTATATGTGCCTGTTTTAAAGTTTATAATTATTATCATACTTAAAGCAATTCAACTCAATGATCTAAATGCCTATCTTTTTAAATTTAAAATCAGTTACAACAATAATATATCTTTTGTGGAAAATATATATTTCAAAACTTATTGTACTATAATTCTGTCAATAGCTATTATCAAGTGAAGAAATTTACTAGCCATTTAACTTGTGTCTTACTAAAATTGACCAAACTCCCACATGTATTCCAGATCTAAAAAAAAAATTAGTTGCAATAATAGTAATAAATATATATTAGAAGAAAGATAAGACTTACAAGTTATTCCTATCAAGAAACAGTTACAAGAATAGTATAACTGAATTACAATCAAGAGAAAAAATATTAATAATGAATGTTAACAATAAAAGAAGATTTACAATGTTGAATGAAACAAAAATTTTGTCTTAACTCTGAAAAGTATTTTTATGGAAAGCTATGTTAATAAAAACAAACTCAACCAATTAATTTTAAAAAAATCCAGGATTATTTAATGTAATGAAAGTGTTTTTTTATTGATCCATCATATTTAATTTTTAAGGAAAAAGAAACTATTTGATTTTGTTAAATTTTACTATGGCCATTTTTTGGTAATTGATGTATAATTTTTGCTAATGAAGACTACTCCATATCAAAACTTGTTATTTAGAGGATAATTCCTGTCAGTAATATCCAATTTTTTGCATATTAATTGTTTGCAAAATTTATTGTGAACAATATTTATGAACTGATAATTAAGCTAATAATGTAAGCTATAATCTGCTATGAGATAAAGCAATAATGTATTTATTAACTTGAATTTCTTTCTGTAGAAAGTTTTTTAAAAATACCATGTAATAAATTTCTCTTTATCTTGCTTCAGTATATATTAAATTGTTTCATATTCTTGTTGACAACTTTTATTAATAAAACAATATTTTTCCTTCAGAATTAATGTATTTTTACTTCAGAAATTTAGGAAGTACAATAAGGTCTTATGTGGGAATGATATACACAGATTTATGTTTGAATGTAGAAAGGTGTGCATCCAAATATAAATCTAATCTAATAGATAATTACCTTTTAATGCATACACTGTTTTCATTATGAAATTCAGTGTATATAGTAAAAACATAAGTAAAATGTTTTAAGCAACACATTTGAATGCTTTTCTGTTAATTTTAATAAATGCATAAGGAGACAATTGTCTGCAATTATTTGGGTGTATTGCAAATTTCTGTGAATTTCATTTTGCATGATACCTGCTGACACACAGTTTATGTAAAATAAGAAGACATGTCTATTTAACTGTTAAATGTTTTTCAGTTTACTTTTAAATGTATAGAATTAATAACTTTTTTCATTTTAGCTTAGTGATATAAATTGAAAATATAACCATTTTAAATGATAACTCAGCAATAAAATTTCAAAAATATATTAGTTTTTC